GTAACTTCCCAGAGTCATTTAAGGTCAGCGTGGTACTGCCATTATTTAAAAAAGGAGATTGTGGAGATCTGGGAAATTACAGACCCATTACGATAATACCAATGTTTGCTAAGATCTTTGAAATCATTTTAAACAAGAGGCTATATAGTTATTTGCATAATTACAATACAGGGTGTTTTTTTGGGAGCTTTAGTTAAAAGTTTCTGGGAAAGTAAAATAGGTAGGTTTTTGAAAATTTGTACTTAGGAGTTACTCTGAAGGCCGAATCGATGTAAAATATTTTCAAAATGGCCGCACTTCCGGAAACACCGGAAGTAGATAGTAACTTCGTTATTTTAAATGGCAACCCCTATTTTTTATTGCTTTTTTGGATTCTACCTGAAATTTCACTTCTTTTGATACCCATATGTCGATATCTACCATTTATGGTTTTTAAGTTATTTTGACTTTAAGAAAAAAAATGGCGGATGCAGATGGTACCTTGATAATTGATTACTTGCAAACGGTTGTAGTCATGGCAACCTATTTTTATCAGTGCATAGAGAATGAATAGGGCTTCCTTTTAGTGCACTTAAAAAAAAGTTAAGTTGCGTACGACCGCCCCTATGGATATCCAAATTTATGAAACTTCAAAGACTAAAAACTCAGTTTTTTTTAATGGAATGACCATGTTCTTACTATTCCATGAGATAGAGAATCGAAATGGGCATATTTTGACAATACATGTTCCTATAGCTATCTTTAACAGTTTCTGACTTATTCCCATTTTATTGAATTGACACTATTTTTTTAGGATTTTCTTTTTAGTAGTCGGCCATGATTCTATAACAATTGAATTTTAAACAAATCTAGTGACACTAATCCATCACCCACTGTTATAGGTTAACATAAGTTTTTCAAAAATCGAAAAATGACTCGCAGTGGTTTCACCTATTTTGGAATTTAATTGTTATTTATGGTGAAATGGGCAGAATCGCGGCGCGTGCTTTCCGTACATTCATTCGAAAACTAGAACGAAATTGTATGAATTTTTGAAATTTTGTACCCCTAATGCACTACAAACCGTTGAAGCACAAGTTATACAAAGCTCTACAAGAGAATATTTAAGAAAATGAATTGAATTGCAAATGCAAGATTAACAAAATAAATTCAATGCAAAATATAAAAAACTTTGTTGAAAAATTTTTGGTATGGAATTGTTGCTAGAACAGATATCGCATTACCTCTCTTAATTTCCAGACTTATACGTTGTTTAAGAAATTCAGTTGAACGACTCTGTTTAGATTTTTCAAAAATTTTCTGTCCTATATCCTTATTAAATGAGTTATTTATTAATGAATTATTTAGACTAGAACTAGAATCAGTGGTATTAAAGAATCCATTCCTTGATTTGTTTAAAATTCGATTGTTATAAAATCATGGCCAACTACTAAAAAGAAAATGCGAAAAAAAATGGCATCAATTCCGAGATCAATTCAATGAAATGGGAATAAATCAGAAACTGTTAAAGATAGCTATAGGAACATGTAATATCAAAATATGCCAATTTCGATTCTCTATCTCATGCAATATTTAGAACATGGTCATTCCATTTAAAAAACTGAGTTTATAGACTTTGAAGTTTCTTAAATTTGGATCTCCATAGGTGCGGTTGTACGCAACTTAACTTTGTTTTAAGTACAGTAAAAGAAAGCCCTATTCATTCTCTATGCACTGATAAAAATGGGTTGCCATGACTATAACCTTTTTCAAGTAATCAATTATCAAGGTACCATCTGCATCCGCCATTTTTTTTCTTAAAGTCAAAATAACTTAAAAACCATAAATGGCAGATATCGACATATGGGTATCAAAAGAACTGAAATTTCACGTAGAATCCAAAAATGCAATAAAAAATAGGGGTTGCCATTTAAAATAACGAAGTTACTATCTACTTCCGGTGTTTCCGGAAGTGAGGCCATTTTGAAAATATTTTACATCGATTCGGCCTTCAGAGTAACACCTAAGTACAAATTTTCAAAATCCTACCTATTTTACTTTCCCAGAAACTTTTAACTAAAGCTCCCAAAAAAACACCCTGTATATTAAGCTGTTTTCAGTATGGTTTCCGGAAAAAACACTCCACTATTCAAGCTGTTACTAACTACAATCATCAATGCTCTTGAGGAGGGTGAACTAGCTGCATTGATATTATGCAACCTTTCAAAAGCATTTGACTGCGTTTCTTTTGAAATTTTATTAAATAAAATGATTCAATGTGGCATCAGAGGCTTAGCGGCTACATTCTTCTCGGCTTATCTCTACAATCGTAAGCAATGCGTTGTTGTTAATGGAGAGTATTCAAGGCTACTTCCTACGAAACATGGTGTTCCACAAGGCTCTATTTTAGGGCCTCTATTTTTTATTATTTATGTAAACGATTTTTTTCAATTTGTATACCCCAGTACTTGTATAGCATTTGCTGACGATACTTCCATAATTGTTAAAGATAAAACTTTTAAATCATTATGCAATAAAGCCAAAATCACGTTGCAAGAAGCGACTAATTGGTTTGCAAATAATAACTTAATGCTTAATAAGGATAAGACGCATATACTGACATTCTCTGCCAGCAACAAGATTTCGTCAGGCCTTTGCGCTAAAGTGTTAGGTATTTGTGTCGACGATAGGTTGACGTGGATCAATCACATTGACTATGTTGTATCGAAGCTATCTAAGTCTTTGTTTGTTTTGAGAACTCTAAAACGGGCAATATCTATTAAAACCCTTATATCCTGCTACTTCTCACTTTTTCATTCTCATCTCCTGTATGGAGTAACTTTGTGGGGAAATGCTCCCAAATCAAACAAAGCCTTTATTATGCAAAAGAAAGCGATAAGGGTTATTGTAGGTGCCCAGTTTAGAGCACACTGCCAGCGATATTTCCGTCAACTTCGAATTATGCCGCTGCCATCAATATTCATGTATGCTGCTCTTTTAGAAATTCACAAAAAGTTATCTACATTCCCAACTAATGACACTACACACAGCTACAACACTAAGAACGCAAAAAATCTGCGGATTCCATACTTTAGACTTTCCAAATCCAAAAATAATAGCCCCCGCATAGATTTGTATAATGTACTACCACTGGGTGTGAAGCAGTTACCTTTCGTTAAGTTTAAAAATTTTATAAAAAATCATTTTTTAGCTTATTGTTTCTACTCCATAGAGGAATACCTCAGTACACCTATTGTTTTTAATTTGTATTTTTATTTTTAATATTGTTAGTTTTTTTCTTTGTCCGTTTGTACTTTTATTGTATACTACTTATTTATGCTGTAATTTGACCTGTCGCAAGCACTGAATGTGATATTACGACAAAATATACAAAATATATATTGTCAAGTCAACTATCTGTAATTAGGGGAGTTCCCCAGGGGTCCATTCTCGGACCACTTTTGTTTTTGATTTATTTTAATGACTTCCCTAATTACATAAACATCTATGCGGATTGTATTTTATTTGCGGACGACACAACGCTGGCTATAAAACGCAAAGAGTTAAATGACATTTTGTCTGTTCACAAAGAAGTTGAAACTCTGGCGTTAGAATGGTTTATACCAAACCAATTAAAGCTTAACGAAACCAAATTGGAAAACCTGATGCTAACTCTAAGACATCATGCATTTCAAAACAATGCTTCTGTAAAATTTTTAGGTGTACATATTGATCCTGTCTTAAACTTTGGAGTACATGTCGATTTTATTTGTAAAAAAATTAGCAAAAACATATTTGTTTTACGTCGTTTATCCGATAATGTCTCAAGGAACGTGTTAGTGAGTGCTTATTATTCGCTAATACATTGCATATTAAGCTATGGTATCTTAGTCTGGGGAAATTGTCCTGCAGCGCGAAGAGTTTTTGGTCTCCAACGACGTGCAGTACGAAGAATAAATGGTCTTGGATATAGGGATGATTGCCGAATGACTTTTATTGACCTAAAAATATTAACCTTACCATCACAATATTTGTTAGATAGTATTATGTATGCGAAAGATAATCTTCATGAATTTAAATTACAAAGTGATATACATCATCATTTCACAAGATCCCGAACTAACATAAGGCCAAACTATTGCCGTTTAGCCAAGACACAAAATGGACTAGTGTACGTCTCCCAAAAACTCTTCAATCATCTTCCAACGCAAATAAAAGAGTTGACTAGACTACAACTAAAAAAGGAATTAAAAGAAATACTATTAAAAAAAGCATATTACGCTATTGAAGAATTCAACTGTGATAATCTATCTAGTCTTATATGAAACCTGTCAATTTATTTTATTTTTCGATTTTATTTTATATACTCTTTATTTATTCCACTAAATGGTAACTCGTGCCTTGGTGCTTATCAGTTTTGTATGTTCGTCCCATCATATGTCGTTTGTTTTTATATTACACCCTTGTGTCACATATATAATAAGTGTAAGCGTAAGCTAAATTATTATTATTTATTATCTAAATCAAAATTTTAATGTGTAGTGTACGTCCATATTTATATTTATTGAAAATTTGTACTTATATCTCAAATGTTGCTGTTCTATATTTACGTTATTTACATTGTGCATTATTGACATGTCAAAGCCACATTTGCTACTCTGACAATAAATGATTTGATTTGAAATGATTTGATTTGATTTAAAGTAACTAAATCTAAATATGTAGCTTCCGGCTCAAAGGCTTACACAAAGTAAATTCGGATTCGAATTTGAGGGAAGCTAGCGGAGGAATCGTGAAAATGAACTATTCGGAAAGAAGAAGTTAAAAGGAATAATGATTTTGGGAATTTTGGGAAACTTAATTATCACAGCCTAGGGCTTAATGTTCAACTAATCCGCCTTTGTACATGTTACAACAGGCGTTCATTTTCTGGTAGCCCTCTTAAAATTCTCGCAGGAAAGTTACACCGCCACTGTAACACTGGATCATTTGATTGAGAAACAGTAGGTAAAAAATGAAAACGTGAGACAAGGATTTTATTACTAATACAAAGTTTTATACAGAGTTGTCTATTGTACCAAGCAAGGTAGTTCGTAAATAATATGTACAAATTTCTACTTCCTCCTTTTTGGTAAACATATTTTATTGTTCAAGCGTTTTTTGCTTTGTTTGTTGAACAAGATAATGTACAACGATGCATCCACAGTTTACTCATCTGTAATTAGGGAACAACTTCTACAACTTTGTCGCGGTAGTGTTGCTAATTGGTCTTCGATCATACATTAAACAGAGAGTTTCCAAGTAAAGTTTTTCAGACGTACGGGTAAAGCAAACAGAAAAGTTTTCTAGATTGCGACGGGTCTAAATCTCGAATGATGACAAACAGAGATGTTAACTTACATTATTGGAACATGAAGTTTATGTGAACATTACACAAAATTAATTTTGATCCAGTGTACAACACGATTAACTGTTACGTCGGTTGACATCAATGAATAATATCTCCTTAAAGAATGGGTGCACACGTAGTAAGAAAATGTTCCACCTCATAGTCAGACTCATTAACATATTTAAATAATAAACATGTAACAGATTGCACGGCTCGCATCCATTGAGAAACATACAACACTTTCTTCAATGCAATATAACTTCAGTTGCACGCTATCGATAGAACAAAATGCCATAGCATAGCAAAATATTTAGGGACTTTTAATAGCTATGTGTTCGGAAACTGAATGTAAGTAACGGTAAGGTTTTACTAGCACAGTACGTTTTCCTTTCAATTATTGAATATTGCTCGATTTTTTGTAGAAATAAACCATCAATTATGGTCACTCAGTTTTACGATTGCCTACCTACCGATATATATTTAATCCTATCCAATATGGAGCATTGCAAAAATATACTACACCTATTGGGAGAGATGAACAGCAATTTAAAGCTGCATGTGGAATGAAGAGTTAAACAATAACTCCAGAAATGTGAGGGACTGATTCTTCATAAACTATTTTAAAAAATGCGTATTTGATAATGGTGTGCAATAATGGCGTCATGTAGGTACACTAGTGGCGTGCAACGGAATAGTTGATATCACGACGAGTAGTAAATTGATAAGTGAGCTGTGGATGCAGTCATTACAGTTAGGGAAAAAATAAAATAATATCAATATGGCATCACATGTACGCGTATCAGTTTCTACACATTTGATATTGATTCTTTCAACATTCATGGTCAAATTAGCAGAAGGTCGAAAATGGCTTCTACACAGCGCACGTTCTAGTAGTTTTCTGACTGGACTGCAACCGACTTAAGCGCTTGTTGGTCATGGCAGCTGGTAATATTTTCAGTCTATGGTGATTACCGCGTAGTGTGCTTCCCGTGCTATCCACCCACTGAAACAAAATGGCTAAATTAGCGAGAATTCAACTGCACGATACGTTGTATGAACATAAACAAATAGGGAATATGCATGTAATTTTTTTAATTTTTTAATCGCTTTTTTAATCATTTTTTTTACGCGTATACGTGCGGACGTGTTTTCCCAGCCTTCAAGTCGAAAATCGTTTTTCTAAGGTAAATAATTAGTTTTAACTATCGGTGCCCTTACGATCTGTTTAGAAGCAATAAATATTATGCCTTCTGTTTATAAATGCATCGTTTGTCGTGCTAATTTGAACCCGGATAAAGAAATTAATTGTGATGAATGTAAACTGTATGTACATACAACCTGCTCAAATTTATCGGATATCGAATTGCAGTGTCTCAAGTCCAAGGATAGGTCTATTACTTATCAATGCACAAAGTGCAAATGTCAGCGAAAGGAAATTCGGGATCTGGTTGAAATCATTACAGAACTTAAATCTGAGATCGAGTCATTGAAGAAGCGGGGGGCAAATACAAACGATGAAATTAATGCTGAGGAGATAATCCAGGAAACTTTTGAACGCCAACGTCGCTCTTGCAATCTAATTATATATAACATAGAAGAATATCATTCTGAAGATAAAGAAACGCGGATCGAGAGTGATGTGGAAACAGCAAAGGAAATTATTTCACAAATTTCCACGGTTTCAACAACTGATATTCATGTTACCAGACTAGGGAGACCCAATAATGTGGGGAATAAACGCCCGTTAAGGATTGCTTTCAAAAATCCGTCTGATGTGATTGATGTCCTACGCAACAAATTCAAATTAAAATCGCTTTACTCAAATTCTGTCTCTATTAGTGCAGACCAGACACCTCGGCAAAGAGAGTACTTGAAGAACCTTCGTGACCAGCTCCAAGTGAGATTAGCTAACGGAGACAATGTCACTATTCGTTACATGAACGGCGTACCCAAAATTGTTAATGTACCAAAAAAGTAGATGCAACTTTGTCCATTACATGTTACTTTCAGAACGTCCGTGGCTTGCGTTCTAAAATCACTTCTTGTTACAACTCCATAAATGCTTGTGAATTTGACATTATTGGTATTGTAGAAACCGCTTTATGTAATACCATTAGTAATTCTGAACTGGCTCCCGCTGATTTCAAAATTTTTCGGTGCGATAGACAATTCGAACTAACAGACAAAAAGTGGGGTGGTGGTGCTTTGTTAGCTATTAAAGACAGTATTGACTGTTCCCTTATCGACGTTAGTGATCTATCCAACATGATACCAACAATTGACATTGTAGGTTGCATATGTAATTTAAGTAGTACGCGCTTAAGTGTTTTTGTGATATACATTCCGCCACACACTCGTATAAATGAATACCAACTATTTTTTGAACTTTTTGAGGAATTTTGTGCAGAATATTTTATTATTAGGGGATTTCAACATACCACAATTTTGTACAGGTGATATTAATGATACGAAATCTAACATAATTAGAAATTATATTAACATATTGAATTTACAACAGTTCAACGATATTTGCAATTGCAATGAGAGACTCATAATTAGTAACTACAATTGTAAAATTATTAGAGACAGCAGTCCGTTTGTTGGAAGATAATCATCACCCTGCTCTTATAATATTCTTGAATGCCTATAAAAATCCAACCTTTTCAGTAGCGAAAAACAATTACTCCTACAACTTTTGGAAAGCAGACTTTGAGGGCCTATATAATTCTTTATCATCAATTGATTGGTCTATTCTGCTTCAGTACAGTGATGTAGACCAAGCGTGCTCTCATTTTTATTCAATTATTGATGACACGTGTAACAATTTCGTTCCTCGTTCACGTCATACAGGTAAACGCTCCTTTCCTAAATGACTCTTGAAATTAAAAAAAATATTAAATTGAAATATAAATATCTAGTACAGTTTAAAAGATACAGAAACTTAGATGCGTTAAATGAATATAAGAATCTACGTAATCAAACAAAATTACAGATTCGTCTAGCGTATAAGAAATACATTGAAAAAATGGAAACATCCCTTGATCAAGACCCCAATCAACTCTGGGCGTTTGTTCGATCTAAAAATAAAGTATCGCACATTCCTGGTAAAATGAAGTATATGGATACTGGATATAGTAATCCTAGGGAGATTGTTAATGCGTTCATGCGGTACTTTTCGTCTGTGTACACAAATTCTTCTGACACGTTGTCAGATGACGTTTTTAATAATTGGCCCATCATTCCTTCACCTCGCATAACCGAGGCAATGGTAGCTTCCGCGATTGACCATTTGCAAAACAAACAAACAACCGGATATGATAACATACCAACATTTCTCATCAAATTTTTGAAAAACGTATTGCTTTCTCCTCTTTGTATTATATTCAATTTGTCGCTGTCGTGCTGCTCTTTTCCAACGATTTGGAAAATTGCAAAAATTATTCCAATTCACAAAAGTGGTGATCTGTCTGAAGTGTCAAATTATAGGCCAATCAGTATTTTGTCCAGTGTTTCTAAAGTGTTTGAAATAACGATATTTAATTACATTTATCCTGCCGTTCAAAGAATAATTTCTCCTCATCAGAATGGGTTTATGCAAAAGAGGTCCACACTTACAAATCTGGCATCTTTCACGGAATTTTGCACGAACACTTTGGATAGCTCTGGCCAAGTTGACGTAATGTATGCTGATTTTTCCAAGGCGTTCGATTCTATAGACCATGCAATAATGTTATATAAACTAAAATGCTTTGGTTTTAGTAGTGAGTTAATAGCATTTTTTCGCTCTTATCTTAATGACCGTTTACAATTTGTTTCGTACAATGGTTTTAACTCACACATGCTTGAAGTAACCTCGGGTGTGCCACAGGGTTCAAATCTTGGCCCTCTTATGTTTTTAATATTTATAAACGACATCTCGAATTGTTTTTCATGTAATAATCTTATTTTTGCCGACGATCTTAAAATGTCCGCAAAAATATCTTCTATCGATGATTGTTTATACTTACAGGCGAATATAAATAACTTAAATGCGTGGTGCTCATTAAACAAACTTAAACTGAATATAAGTAAATGTAGGGTGTTGTCATTTACAAGGAAGCGAAAACCGATACTATATGAGTATCACATAGATAGAGTTGGCCTTAGCCGTGTCAACTCTGTTAAAGATCTTGGCGTCACATTTGATTTTCGTCTCAGCTTTAAGGAGCACATACACTCGATTTGCACCTCAGCTATGAAAACCCTGGGATTTATCATAAGAAATACGAAACAATTTAAAAATATCAATTTACTCTTTCGTTTGTATTACTCCTTGGTGCGCTCTAAGTTCGAGTATTGCGACCTCGTATGGTATCCACTATACAACGTATATAAACATGACATTGAAAACATTCAGCGAAGATTTTTAAAATACATTGTTTTCAAAATCGATAGCGAATACCCGCAACGTGGTTTTCCTCAGGACACGCTGTTGGCACGTTTTGACGTTCACTCAATGGAACAAAGACGAGTAGCTAATAGCATTAAGTTTTTAAACTTGTAAACAATACTTTAGATTGTCCTTATTTACTTGAAAAACTGTCATTTACTATACCAATGTATTCTACCAGGCATTTAGACACATTCACTTATCCTACTCCAAAATCCAATCTTCTTCGTAGAACTCCATCTTTAATAATGGCATGTAATTATAATATGTATTGTCAGAACTGTGACATTAATTATAATTCTTTATCGAATGTTTTAAGTTCTATTTTTAATTAACAGAGTTTTGTAATTATTATTTTGCCTTCATTCATAGAATTGCTTTCTACTTTGCAACATTAAGTGTACCATTATACATATACACATACCCTTTTCTGTTATTGTTTCTTTACTTTTCTTACTAATTTGTAACAATTATATTCCATTTATCTTTTTCTTTTTTTGTTTTACTTTTTTTTATAATAATTTAATAATAATGTATGTATAGGTATACGCCTCTATATTTACTTTTATAATTGTTCATTTATGGATTACTAAGTCTCTTGAACAATAAACATTACTGAATTACTGAATTTTTTACGTCGTTCTATCATAGTAAAAAGTGGTACCACTGGTAGAACAATTCAATTTAACTTGTAAAATAATATTTAAAACGTTGACTTTATTCGGTGTGTTTAAACGCCGCCACATTTTCAGCGGGCCTTGAATGACGTCACAAGCCACGACCAGTATTTGTTTACTTTTACTGTTGATTTATTTAAACAGATTTTCAATTGTAATAGCTGTTCAGACCATGCAAAAATCTAAAAAACCATTTCATAGGTATTGCCTTGTACATAAGTGCAAAAACACTATTAGAAATATTCCCGATAAAGTGTATTTTGCAGTTCCAAAAGGACGACTCCCAGAGCGTTCTCATTTTCTCAATTTTTTTACAGTTAGTGAATCCTAAAACAACCTTTTTCAACAATTGTGCCGTTGATTTCCAAAATACAAGACATGTAAATCTATAATAGGGGACTGGAAAGCTCTCGGAAAGACCTACATTTAAAAAAATACGTCCAAATCCGAGTTCACGAGAAATCAGCTTTTGACTTCGGATTCTTAAAGGTGCCGTTTTCCTCGAAGCGGCTGGCATTAGCGGCCCAATATCTGCCCAAACTGTAATTTGACTGCACTAAGTACTTATGAATATTGACACAACAAATGCGATCGCGTGGCATTTGACGTCACTTTCATTCGTCCAATAGTGAAGCGTTTCGCAAATTTGAATTTCGTTCGCTTATTTTGCACTTTTGAATTAACATTTTTAGCAATTAAAAACCAACTAAATAAGAAACTAATGGTTTAAGTATAATGTCAGGACAATAAATATTCGCTGGAGAAAGAATCAAGTAAATTTAAACCATATGCATATTCCCTATTGTCGTGTATCGATGTCAACAGTTTTTTTATTCTCAAGGAATTGGACCTTTTTTATCCAAAGAACATCTAATCATTCTCTTTCCTAAACTGCAAGACTGTTTCAATTTCACAGAATTGGTTAGCCAATTGACGTTTTGATTCCGGTATAAATCCGGGTTTCATCACCTCACTAAAGACCGATTCAGAGGTCCGTAACGATAAGCGGTAAGAGGTAACGATAAGAAATACGAAAAATAAACATTTAAATTATAATGGTGACATTCATAGTTTTTTCCGTAAGACGCAAGACGTAAGTAGTAAGAGGTAAGAAATGGATTATTTCATTTCATACCTTATCTCTTACGGAATCATGTTTTGCTTATTAAGATGAGAATGTATTCGACCGTTAAACATTTGTGTT